GGCTGGAGCAAGCGGAAACGCTCAGACCGCCCCCTGTCCTATGCCCAGGCCCTCATCCAGGTAGGCTGCGAGGAAACCATCGAGCCCACCGTGCGCAAACGGAGACTGTGTCTCGCGGGCTTTGTCATGAGCATGGAGGACAACCGCCTCCCCAAGGGCATGCTGTTAGGAGCAATGGCGGGGGGCGGNTCGGAGGTGTGGTACAACAAGGTCGAGGACGGGGCGGCATGGCTCATGAGGAAATGGCACAGGCAGGAGGCGGAAGCGTCCGCGAAGCACCAGCGCGCGAGGGAAGCAGAAGCAAAGAGTACGGCCATCTCAGGACCAAAGAGAACGAGAGTCGGGGAAGCGGCGATGGGAGGGAAGAAAAGGCGACCGGGCACTGCTGTAGAAGCGCGGCCGAGGCAGCACTTGAGGCGAACTATGTACCCGGCTATTGTTGTTGGGCCCTGTTTCACTCCCTGCTGTATGCTACACTCTTTTTGTTTATGTCGTTTATATTGCCTTCGGCCTCTGTGTTGTGTTTCTTTTTTTCATGTCCTCCCTGCCTACTCTGCGCGTTGGGTACCTTGATCTCGCTTTTGCTGTTGCTTTTGTTTTTTGTACGTCTGGCTGTCTGCCCATCTGCCGCCTCTTTGTCCTGTTTGCTCCGTTACTCCCATGCCCCGCTGCGTAGTGCCTGGTGCTGGTACGTTACCCTTTGAATTTTTCTTTAGGCGGGTGTGGGAAGCGTCCTCCTTCATTTTGTTTTTGTTTACTTTTGATCGGTTTCCGAGGGCTCTTTTCTCGAACGGTCGGTGCGGTACCTGTGCTTTTCTTTTTATCATTTTGTTTTCTTTTTCCGAGTGGTTTGTACCCTACTTTTGTTCTGTTTCCCCGCGGTGTCGTAAGTATGTGACGGGTTTTGAGACCACGGGCTCCCCATTTTTTGTGGACTATAGAGCTAATGTGAGAAACAACAACAACAAACCGGCGAACAGGTTTACATTGACGGCGAGCTGACCCGCACGCACGAGACCTACGCCGACTCCACCTTCAATACGCTCGGTGTGACAGCCACTGAGGCCAGCACTGTGATGCTCGAGTCCGTCGACCTCCTCTCAGACGAATGGATGAGCCTTCTCGAGGCAAGTGATTGTCCACGATGACTGACTTGTCCCCACGCTGGAGAACAGCAGGAAGTCCATGTCGAAGCAAGCCGCAAAGTATGGTTTTGGCCCGGTCGAGCATTAGGAGAGGGGAAACAACTACAGGAGAGCACACCATGATACGGGAAAAGCAGCTAAAACTGCTGCTGTACAGGTTCTTGGCCAATTCAAGTGATTTTCGAGCAATAATTCTATTTACGTCACCGGTGGCGATATTTCTTATACACGTCACCGCCCGTATCTCAGCCCACAGAGCTTTGTTCATGAGTCTGCGAACATTGCTGTTGGATACATGTGCTGGATGATTTTGTGTCACGCAGACTGGTAAGATAACCGTTTGATAGGGGGCACCGCGATGATTCACGGGGCCCCTCCTTGCTGTGGGAGCCGCTCTTTGAGCACTCCCTCTTTCGTCCGTGTGAAGGACGGTCGTCTACCTCCCGTGAAGTTAATACATCACCAAAACAGTCTCACCCGATAAATAAGTGGCGTAGGCCGCAAACACTCTAGAGTTTGCCCCTCGAGGGAAGCCACATCGGGATGAGCTCTGCTGGAGACGAAGAGCGCGCTGCTGCGAGCGGAGAACAGATCCGCCCGCCAGTGCAGGAGGGCCGCGACGCGGAGCTTGCAAGTTTGCAACGGCAGATTTCGCAATTGGCGGCCCTGGTGGAGGAGTCGGTGAAGAAGAAGGAGCCTGGTAGCGTCGTGGCGGATGCAGTCAGTAGTGGCGGCTGGGTTGCCGCCACTGGAGGCCAAGATCAGCCCCTGCTGCCGCACGGCGGAGGCGGGGGATTTCTCCAGCAGCAAGCGAGAGATAGTGGGCAAGGACCACGGCAGCTGCTGGAAGGCGGCTGGGCCAGCAGATCGGGAGCGAACCCTG